GGCCGTTGGGGCGTGACCGTTGGGCTGGCCCGGCCACCGCGTTGGGAGAGGGCAGCCCCCAGTCCGCTGCCTCGCCCGGGGCTGGGCAAGGGGCTTTGTGCGGCGCCGCTTTTACAAACCGCCGCGGTTGGGGCAGCAGAAAAACAGCGTCTGGCTAAAGTTTGGGGGTGTAGCCGAGGTGATCCTTGCCCTTGGCGTGAGCCGGCAGCTAACCTGGTTTAAATGGCTGGACGCCACTGCTAGAGCCATTTCCATGAGAGGCTATTGCCCGTTCCAGAAAGGCCCCGATGACTTCGCGTGCGGATGTTGTGCAATGAAGACTTAAAAGACGTGCTGGACCAGTTTGGATGGGGTTTTTCTCTTCCTGGGAACTATTAAGCTAACTTGCATGTAGGCACCTGTGTTAGATGACCTCACGTGTAAGATTCATTCAGGGTTCATCACTGGCACTTTAGAGGCTTGTTTTGCTTTTGCTTCTTTCTGTAACTCAACCCTAGTTTCTGTCTGACAGATACCGCACCATGCTTGTGGGTTGGGTGCTGCTGTGTCAGCTACATGCGATGGTGTTTGCATTTCCTCATTGCACAGAGAGATTAAATAACCTGAAGCACGACTTGGAAGAAGGTAACTTACTTTTAACATTAACTTACTTTCTAAAAGAGAACTGTAGCTCATTTGCTTTTACTAGGAAATCTTCTTATAGGTGTGTAAATACTGGGGATTTTTTAACCTCATAAAAGGTTACTTTAAATTGTTTTACTCTTAGCTTAGATACCTTTCACTGAAATAACTGACAAATTATGTGACTGTCAATTTTAAATATTTACCAGATGAAGAAGTAACTGGAGACTGGCAAGACTGACCTTTCTTTGTGTCCCTGGATGCTTGTTACTGATAAAAGCAGAATCCTCTAAGCACACTCTGTCTAAAATAAAAGTTTGAAATTTGTATTAAGACAGTGCTACTTTGGTAATACTTGAGCACATCACAACTGCATTTGTATATATAAATTTGATTTGCATTTGAAAGGATTTATTTGCTTGTTTTCTGGTATTCAGAAAATATATAAATCCGAAATGTCCTTACAGCACTTTGAAAGGTAAGCAATTACTGCAATTCTCCACTTTGGAGAGAGTTGAAGAGGAATGCAGATAAAACCACATAAAATCCCCAAGAAGGAATGGAGCCCAATGACACAGTGTGCTACTTTCAAGCATCATTCATGACTGATTTGGCAGTTAGTGTATGTAATAATAATAATATATAACAGCTGTATGCTGTTAACCATACATATTCAAGTTATATTGCAGTTTTCAAAAAAAAGTTTTGGACAGCAAAATATTTTGAGATACTATTGAAAAGAGTAACTACTAGAGTAAAAATTCCTGAATTATGTGATAATCTAAGTTTATAAGCTAATGAGAGGAACAGAACTAATTTGAAGTTGGATAACTTCATTCTGCATCTCATCTCTTTATTTAGCTGTCTGGCTTGGTATGTAACTACACTGTTTCTGCATTACACTTGCAGAAATTATCCTCCAGTCATCTTGCTTAACCAAATTTCTTGGGAGTACAGATTAGGCCTTCACAGAAAGCCAAGCCAGAAAACTAGTTCTGTCATATAAAGATGATTTTGTTACACAAAGCTATATCACGAACAGGCTAAAACTTGACTATAGGAAGTGCCTGGCTAGAAGCTGCATTCCTGTATTCTAAAATCTTCTATAATTTCACTAACCTTCTGAAATCTTGCCTCACAATTTACTTCGTCCTCTTTATGGACCTTGTAATAAGCAAAAAAGAAGAAAAGAATAAATGTCTTCAGAAGTGCCTACCCACAGGAATATTCCTATCATGCATGGGCTAACTTAAATAAATATGGCAATAGGCCAGCCTTTACATAAAACTTCCTTCAGTCATTAAGCAGCGTCACAACTGTGAGGGAAAGAGAACAAATACAAAATGAACAAGACTTCACTGTCATCATTTTAAACTCAAATTCTGTTGAATTCTGTTGAACAAAATTTGGAACTCACAGATACCAGATTATGTGAAAGGAATGTATATTGAAGACTCTTTACAAAGAACAGATTTTGCAAACAAGAGGTCAATGTTTTGCTTTGTCTGGATTTAAATGGATTTGTGTTTTGATACCCAAATCCCAGAAAGCCAAAACCAAAACCTGAACTCCCAACAGCTGTCACAAGAACCAAATTCTCCTGCCAGTATAAGGAATAGCTGGAATGCTTTACAAGAAAGGAAAGTATGTCTATTTTGTATTGCCCAGTCATAACAGTTAGCAGCAAAGATGACATTCTGTTGACAACTCTTTATACTATATATGGTTGAGAGATGCTAGGAGAATAAATGAACTTCATACACTCCTTTGGGATACACCATTTAAAAAAATAACAGATTTAGCTTTCCTAACTAGCTTTAAAACATTTTTTTTTCTTAGTGTTCATATCAGAAAAGGATGCCAAGTTATTCATTGGAAGACATCTTCTGAATAACAGATTTGATTTTGAAGCATTCACACCAGATAACTTGGAAAGGGAATGCTTTGAAGAGCTGTGCAATTATGAAGAAGCAAGAGAAGTTTTTGAAGACTCTGCTAAAACGGTAATTGTTCAAACTGAGTTTAGTATCCTGAAGGTTACTTAATAAACAATTACTGCATTTTAATACTGCACCCCTTCAGAAAACAGCTCTTAAAACAGGATGCTTATTTTACATTAAAAGTATAGAGGCCCCAAGTAGCTGGTGTTACTGTGCTAGATACAGAACTCAAACACTTTAGATAAGGACTGCAATTTGGCAATCATACACATAAAACAAACTCCAAAAACACCACTTACGGATACGTACACATAAACTCCAAAAACACCACTTACGGATACACATATATGCATTTTCAGAATCTCATTTTTTTGGTTTTTTTTTTTTGGTAGGTCCTTAGAAACTTCTCACCATGCAGTTTCAACGTATTGCCTGTGTTGTGCTTATTAATTGGCTGATCCTGTGTCTGGGTTGTGCCAAAGCAGACAGCAGTAGGTAGTAGCAGGTGGTAGTAAATCTACAGTTCAGCTGTTGCTAAGCGTTTCTGTAGTATCATCTTCTAAAATGCAGCCTTTGTGTGGCTGGAAAAAACCTGGTATGAGAGAGAGAAAAACACACAGGAAATCTCTGAAATTACAATTTTATGCAAACTTGAATGCATGAATGAACACCTGATGAAAAACACCAATACAAATCCATCAGTGAGAGTTGCCTCTCTCTGTGCCGTGGTTAATTTTTGCCTTTACTAGTATATTAAAAGTATATATATTAATAGGCATGACAGCTGTGTAAATGCGATCTTTTTATTTCTATAGATGGAGTTTTGGAAAGATTATTCAACTAAAGGCCCTAAAATAAAAACAGGTTAGTGGGTTTTTTTATTCTTGTTCTTTGCTTGCATTGCAGTATCTTGTGTTTGTTATCATAGTTCATTCTTAAAAATAACACCGTATATTCATTCTGCAAAACCAATTTTCATCTTTTTACAGAATTTCATAGCGAACTGCACTGAATGTGAACGGTACAGTTTGATTGTATTGCACACGTACAATAACTCCTCACTGCAGACTTAGACATCACTACCTTATTGCACAGCACAATTAGTATTTTACAATCTACATACCAAGGAGTACAAAAATGGAGAGAACACCATGTTATTCACCTGAAAATAACTAATGTTTTATTTTTAGATGATGATACGCTACAAAGGATTAATGTTACAGGACTTCTCATTGGTCTAGTTACTGCTGGAGTAATGCTGGTCATTATTGGATTGCTTATTTTCTACTGCTGCAAAAGTAGATGCAAATCAAGGCAACCACCAGGGTAAGGAATTTCACTATTAAAACAAACTTTGACTGCTTAAGAATCAAATTTAAAAATTACTATGGATTGATCTAATTGTTCTTGGAGGAACCAACAGGAGTTTCTAGTTCTAGTTCTGTCTTTTCTGGAGCAAAGTTAGGTCAGCACTAGTTGTGCTGCTAAGAAAATTAATCCCCCTTTTCTGGTGCAAAGTTAGGTCAGCACTAGCAGTAGTTGTGCTGCTAAGAAAATTAATCCCACATAAACATAAAACAGCACTTGTGTGGCTGTCAGAACCTTCTCTTTTAAATTCTCCATTACTAAACTGTGCTCTGCAGAGAATGTTTGACTCATGGTTTTTAAGATCACCTAAAATGTTTCATTTGTTTTTTTATTTTGCAACTAAGATTGTATATGCTTTCTTTCCTTTACCAAAATGGAAGTTGTCACCTGAAATGCTGTTAACTTTGTTTAGGTACTTGGAGCATGTCAGGAACAGAAGACATTCATCTAGCATCTTCAGAAGACATGAAGAGTTTTCTTTAAATCCACTTCCTCACAGAACTGATGATTCAGGGCTACCAACTTATGAGCAAGCCATTTCTGCAGGTGGACAACCAGATGTGCCACCACCCCCTTACCCAGGGCGCATGAGAGGGGCAAAAGTGTTTAGAAAGTCTATGTCACTTCCAACCCCATAGTCACAAACCTCCTTCTGGAGTACTGCAGAATTACTGAAGTACTGAACACTTTTTTAAAGTGCGCTACCTTGCATATTGCAAGACAGGTTACAAAAATGTGAAAGTTATACAGACTTCAGCACAGCTAGGAGCAAGTGAAAAATCCCATTTGGGAAAAGAAACAGTCTGTTGCAAAGATTGTTGTGTTAAGAAGAAAAGGTGCAAAAATCAGGTCATGTACTGCCACCTTCTTCCACGTGCACTTTGAGATATCCCATCGTATTGATGCTTTATTAATAGTTTCATTTTTGTTTCTTTAGAAGGAACACTATTTTACTTTTTGTTGTTGGGTTTTTTTTTTTTTTTGACACTAACCATTTCTTTCCCGGTGTTAACACTAAACCACCAGGAGAAAACTACTTGGTTGTTTGATATATTCCCTTCACTAATATGTGGATTTTGTTTGCATTCTAGGAATATATTTGAATATGAAAATGTTTTCTTGGGTTGATCTTTGAACAGTATATGTATTATTGCTTCTGGATTATATTGATGTTTCAGCTATTGCTGGATAACAAATTACCCAATTTATTTATTTTTGTCATTATTATTTTGGATGGAAAGACACTGTATCACCCTTTACCCAAACTATTTGCCCATTTAATATTTACCCTTTTCAACAATTTGTTTCATACACTATAATAGTATTTAGTGCTGGACAAATCCAGTATGGCAGGCAATGGACAGGGAAGAGGGAGATTTCTTTTCCTTATCAATACTACACTTGTTATACTTTAACTGGAGATCACCCAGATTCCACAGATACCTTCCTCTTGCTAATAAAAAAATAAAAATAAAAAAAAATAATAATAAAAAAAAGCAAATATGTGGTTAGTGGACTGAAAAGCCAAACCTGGCTACAGCCACACTCTACATAAGCCTGGGTTGCCCTGCTAGGATAACTGTAGCTTAAAACTATCACTTAGTTAAGAACTTCAACCTGTTCCTGGTTCATTTTCATAAACAGTTTCTAGACCATCAATTGTAGTTATCCTTTTAAGTCAAATTACAGTAAGAGTTTCCAGTGTTATTTGGCTTACAAAAACATCACTGTCCCTTGAACACCTGGTCAAAAAAAAAAAAAAAAAAAAGCCTCCCTTGGCCATAGTGGCAGGTCTCCCAGGCACCATGCTGGGCTCAGTGGTTTCTGCAGTAAGGTAGCTACATTCATATACCTTTAAGACAGGTGTAGCTAAAGGCAGTTTTACATGTAATGTCTTTTACATTAAGTATTGAGTTGATTTTAACATGCTATAACTTATGGTGCTATTGAAGTACATGATGATTGATATGAGGCTTTTAAACTTTTAATGCTTTTGTAGAGATGAAAATTCTCTAGTCTTGGAGTACAGAAGGATATATTACAAATGCTACATTGTACAGGTTCTGTCCTTTGAAAAATACATATAGCTCAGCTGCTATTAGAGGACACAGCACTGATTTCTTATTCCTACATCTGCATCATCAGATTTGGCTTTGACAGGTTCTTTAACCTACTTTGCAGTTTCTTTCCTGTTGGCAGATGGGGGAGTCCCCTCCTGGGGACACTGGGAGCTTAGTCCATTTTTGCACTGCTTCTAAAAGTGTTCTGAAGTTCTTCAAGGCTGCTACAGTGCAAGATTGAATCGAGTTAAATGCATTTGTGTGAAACCACATTGTTGATAACAGAAATGCAGTTATAAGGTTGCCTTGGCTATAGAACGCTTCTCTGTTTTCGTTTGGGTAACTGAAGTTTTAATGAGCAGATATGTGCTCACTTTTTCTTAATTTTTCTTGGGACTGAAAAAATGACTAATTTAATGAGAATGATAGGAAAGCTCTCACAGGAAGAAATAGTGTTTGGGAGAGTTCAGGATTATTACAATGATGTACACATCTTAAAAAAGACAGCTTAAAGTGTATAAATCACTTCAAGTATGATTCTTCCTACTTTAACCCTTCTAGAAATCATCTGCAATGATTTGATGCAATGCTGATATTAACAAAAAAAATCCTGTAGGTCTTTAGCACAAAGATTGTAGCTCTATGGGCAGGAAACTGCTCCTGCTGTGAGGTATATCCAAACCACTTCAAGTGTGGTCAAAGAATCTGCACTTTGGACCCTGAAGATATTCAAATCATCTACTGACTGAAACTCAAACACTGATGACAAGTAACACTCCAATCTGCAGGACATTCTCATCATTATACACAACTATGGAACAAGATCCAGTTAGCAATCATAACTTATTCTTTATTGTTAAAAAAATAAATTCCTTTGAGCCGCAGTTGTTCTGGTGGGGTTTGTTTAGTTTTATAGAAATGACTCCAGGCTCAAAAAACACTCTTGCTCTGCATCTCGTCTTTTCTGATTTATCAGAGATAACAGGAAGGGAAGCAAAAGGTAAACTCTGGTGTTCTGCGAGTTTTACATGCTCTTTTGTTTCAAAATGTAGTCGCTACCGTAATTGGCAACAATTGGCAACAATTTTAAGTCTCCTCCAATCTGGGGAAGAAGTAGTTTTTGCGGAAAAAAGCACTAGCATTTAATATAAATTTTATGCAGACTTAAAAACACTAGTATTTTGACTTTCAGGACTCTTTTCAAGGGCTAGTAGGAAAGGCAATTGAGTGTAAGTTAAACTGCTATGACAGTTTAAAACAAATGCCTAAAACAATGGGGTAAAAATTCTCTTCACTTAGAACTGGTTTAAACGTGATTTAATGCAATTATCCATTATCTTGAACATTTTCCTCAGACTTACCTTCCACATTGACCTTTCATCATCATAAATGTTGGGAGCATACTGATGGTCAGAAAAGCCATCTCAGTTCTGTCAACTGAAAAATAAATCACTGAGCTTTTGTTTCAATGAAAAAAAGAACACTTACTATTTATGTAAAATTTCCTCAAATCATCTGATGAATAGTATTACAAGCATTAAATATTTTCAGTATTTTTTTTAATGAACTCATGGGAAGATCAAAACAATTAAGTGCCATATCGAAATGCAGTTCCTCACTCCAGTTCAAGGAAGCACAAGTCAAACACACTGTGAGTTTGATCCTTGTCCTGTTAAGATCTCTGGCAAAGTTCTTATTGTTTTTAATTGAATTGGTATTAAAGCCAAAATAAAACAACTAATCACTTTAGGTATTAAATACTACAGTACTCTTTCATTTAAAGTATATGTATACTGCAGTACTGTTGCTAAACTTGATTTATACAATATTCTACTCTCAATGACACTTATTCATATAAAATAGAATTTGAGACACCACTCTTCACACTTTTAATCTGGACAGGAAGATTGCTTGTCTTTCTCTAGATTACAACCTTGAAGCTGAATTAGTAACCTGTTTTTAGTTTATTAGTGACACTGCTTAATTAGTATTCTTGTGACTTGATTACATGCTCATTTGTAGCTTGCCTTTTATATATTTAAGCTTTTCTATCTACAGTCTTGTCTTCCAAAAGAAGTTTTATCACAGGAACACCTCATTCCATGGGGTATAGAGAACAGGAAAGAATCCTTGGGTTTGCAAAAGTTTGAAACAA